CATATTATCGTTGTGATACAAAAAAAATACAGGAAGAAAAATATCCCATTTGAATCTTCATCTGTTATGTTTATAATATAATTAGAGGCTACACTAATGATGTGGTACAATACATATTCCGCAATTGGATTTTTAGCCTCTGACATAACTTATTCAGCAGCTAGTAGGACACATTTGCAGATTGAGGAAGGGAAATGCTGTAAACATAACACAATGTAATAAATGGTAAAAGTAAAAAAAGAAATTACATTTCCTATTGTATTAAACCATTTTTTATCAGAGTTTCTCACACCAGACCAACAGCTCACAGTTATTTCTTCTCATAAAAACTGTGCCCTCTGACCCCTCATCCTGACCACACTGTTGGGTCCAACCTGAAACCTTGGCTAACAACTCCACTTTTAATCAGCAGCCCTCTCCACACAGGCTCTGCGGTCAGCCGATCGCTGCACCTTAATGAGTTAGAAAGCCCCGGCAGCAGCTCCACCTTTATCAACATGATACTCTGGAGTGAAGAAGCTGGAGCCGACGATACACATCGATGTAGGACATGAAAGGACGGACTGAGGAGCATTTACAGGGTTTGGGTTGGACATCTGTTCTTTGACACCATGTTTTATCATTAGTTGATGGTATATGAAGCTGAACAAAGATGTCTCCTTGCTGTTGTCTCTTCTTGATTTATAATGGACTGTTTCAAGTAGTGTGTTTTCTCTTGACACTGACTGCCAAAACACGTTATTTATTTTCTCTTACAATCAGGTGTCTCATGAGACCGTCTTTGCTCGTCTCACCTCCCCTGATTACCCATTGTCGTTGTGCATCTATCTTTTAAACAAAGTTTGAATTTTCTATTAAAGGCGTTCTAACTTTTGAAATTAACTTTGACCGGGGGGCGTGCAGGTGGATTAGAGATAATCACATCAAGGGCACAGAGTCTGACCTGTTTTTGCATCAATGGGCTTCGTCTCTGTGCAAAGCACTCGATCGGCAACTGTTGTCTTGCCTTTTGTGGGAATGTGAAACGCACCTTTATTGATTGGAAGCAAAATGTTTTAAATGTTGCAGATGAGATTTCTGGATTGACGGTTAATGTGAAGATTGAAGCTCATTGCAATCCATTTTCAACTCAAGTCCCAAATTGAAAAATCATTGCAGGCATAATTGAGGCGTATCTGAAGGCAGCGTCAAAACTTTCCGCAGCCTTTACATTTTATCCACCAACCATCTATTCCTGGGGGGTATTGCACAACAAAATTAGAATAACGATATCCAGGACAACTGAGGTAGTGCAGCTTGATCTATTGTGATCTGTGCATCTTGGCTAAATAGGTTGCACATAAGCCCAGCCAGGATGAAAAGGTGCATGTAGATATTCTGGATAAGAGTGTATTCAAGGCGTTCTTAAATAGACCTCGGAATCACTCAAAGTCTCTCAGATGGGAAAATGGATAACTGTCACGCTTCTTACTTCATGGCCGCTGCACACAGCTCTTGATGGACGTGTATTAAGAGGTTAAACACACAATAAAGGCAATACTAGTGCAATAACTAAGTATCAGGACAAGGTGTACTCTTACCCTGTTTTACTTCTTGTGTGTGTGTGTCCTTTTGTGTGAAGGAAATTAAGTAGGGGGCCTCCTTCATCCAGACTTTGTGTGGAAGGAAGATTATTTTATTACTGAAAAAGACCTATATATAATATTTTAATGAAGGATAATTAAAATGCAAGATATTTAGAAAAAAACATGGACATGTAAAAATACCGTTGGGTCACTAGGATTTATCTTAGCCTAACTGTTAGCTTGGTCAGGAGTAGGCTAGCTGCAGAGAATGAATCGCCATAGTAACTACGGCGGGTTTGCTTTGATCTGCTTTCGTGCAACCAACTTCAGAATAAGTTCAGCCAGGATAAGCAACATGTCCCGGCTTAATTCCTTATCTTGATTATGTGCACTACTTGCCTGGTTGTGATTTGTAAATACACAAACCAGCTCAGAATTATGATGAGTCTTTGCTTGAGTGGGTTAGGGTTAGTTGTAAGTTGTAAAATAAATGTTATTGATGCTTAATCCAGCTTAACACGAGTCGTTGTGTTTGTGTAGTGACCTTTTAATGAATATTGGGATTTTTATGAAAAGAAGGCATACTGTCCTTATGCTCTCATCATGGTTGTGGAGGTCATTACTGTGTGTTAAGGGTATTTCTCAAGGATACATGGACAGGTGGGCCTGGAACAGGGTTCAAAGTTAGGGTCCTACACGTGGGGGATGACCTGAATTTCAACAAGGTATTGTGTCTGGATGTTAGAAAGAACACGGTGCTGTAAGGTTACCCAAACCTTCTTTGTCACAAAACAGACTTGACGACCCTTGTTCAACCTTCTTTGCTTCAACACTATACCAAGTATGAGTTTAAGTAAATACTGTCAGAGCTAAAATACACATTTTTTTTCCTCCTAGATATATAATATATGTGTACCCCACACCTGGTTGTCAAGTATATTTAAGAGGAAAATGGAATTTGCAGCAGCAAAGCAAAAAACCTTTCACAAAATTGGGCCAAAGTCAAGAATATATGTGAGAAGTTTAAAGACAGGAAATGAACTAATGGCGATCTTCTCCAACCTTTGTTTGCTCTCACAGTTCACGTGAAGGCAGGGACCTGCGAGGTAATCGCTGCACACCGCTGCTGCAACAAGAACAAGATCGAAGAACGATCACAGACTGTCAAATGTTCCTGCTTCCCTGGACAGGTGGCTGGAACAACGAGAGCAGCTCCGTCATGTGTAGACGGTATGACAGATTCCTCATTACTGTTGTGCTAATGAGTAGAGACCGACATCTGATTAAGGCAGAGATGTGGTAAACTGAAAGACAGGCACAGCTGTTGGTCTTCTACTGCTGCCCGTCCTAGATCCAGGTGGTGGATGTTTACGAAAAAATACACATTTTCTGATTTTCAGATATTTGTTTTTCATGGTTCCTGCATAAGTCCTTAGTAAGAAGAAGGGAATCATTTTAGTTCAAATTGGTGACACAAAGTGTGTGTGTTGGCAGATGGGCCTACGAGCATAAATTGACCTGAAGGTTTGATTTGATTAAACTGTATAACTGCTCACACCATGTAACCTTAGAACTAGATGTTACTTAACTCACCACAGAGTACTTTTGTGACTGTAAAAAAAACCCAAAATATTTGAACACATTCATTCATTTTTCTTGTCCTATTGGTTGTGCTCAGCAGAGTAGAAAGAAAGGTTGGTCATTTAATATTGCTTCAAAAGTGGCCTCAGTTACGGAGGAATCGATTGTCGTCTCCACCTAACTTTATAATGGCTCTGACAGGAGCTTCCTCAGTTTTGACACTTGTTCTTTCACTTTAGAGACGAGGCTGTTTCTCCTCTTCAGACCTCAAAGCACCAGTGTCTTACTGCACCTCTTATTACCCCCTCTGCTACCATCACACATTCACATCTAAACTATGTACTTCTACCCAAGTTAGACTTCAGCCTATGTCTGACCAATGCACATTTAGTTTTTAATCTAATAATTATAAGGTAGATGTGGATTAATCAGAAAAATAGTAGATTCTTGTATTAATCCTGATTAATCTTGATAAATAAACATGTATACGCTGTATCCTGTATATTGCTGGAATGATGTAAAAAAACCCCCGCAGATAAATAGGTTTTCCTTCAACTAATATCACTTGTGTTTTCCTGACAGCATCTATAGTAGCACAGAAATGGTGGTGCCAGATGCATCCCTGCATGGACGGAGAAGAATGTAAAGTTCTACCAGATTTCAAAGGTTGGAGCTGCAGTACTGGGAACAAAGTAAAGACAACTAAGGTGAGTTCTAGTCATCTCCTCGATTATTTATGTAACAAATATGTTTTTTAATTATAATTCTGTAAAAAACTTTTAGTTTTCCAAGATTTTCAGAACCCAATATTGACAAGTCATAACATAACTGCGCCAATACAACGATAATCATCAATAGAAAAAAAGAAATCAAGATAATGCTGCAACTTATGTTGGATTTTCATCTAAAAGAGCTGCAGGTAAACACTGTAATAGAGTTGAAATAAAATATATTGAAAACCAATTATGGACGTAAATATTATCATGACCTTGAACCCATTCCATTGAAATGATAAGAACACAATTGCATCAACTCTATTGGCCTGTTGGAGGTATGGTTTTCTTAATGAATCCACTAGCTGCAGGTCAATGATGTTCTAATTCAGGGATTTCTATGCAACAACAGAAACTTAAACCAAGAAATTATGGTTTTGCTCATCAGCCGATTACAATAAGTGAAGACTGCTACATACAGTAACAGCATAATTTAGCTTTTCAGGGTGTGGATGACATCATGAAGATGTAAATGAAACATAACTTTAAGTAAGAAATGTATCATTACCAGTTACAAATTGTTGCTGCCAAAAATACTATATACTGTACAGTATGTTTACTTTAAATGTAATGGAGTCGGGAAATGTGGTAATTGAAATGTTGCAAAGGGCAAAGTTTATAAAAACTAAGAAAGGAGTACTTAGTAAAATATAGGACTGTCTAAACATTTTAGCAGTGAATATATACTGTATTTACTTTCTCTTACTGTAAGACAACATGTAAAAATGTCATAACAGGTGACTTATGTGCGGCCAGGAAACAAGTTCTCTGTCGTGGCTGAACAGGTTTCCGGTTGTCCCAGGTGTGGACTTCTGCAGATGAAATGTTGCCAACAATGAACTGGAACTGTTTTAAATTTGTTCTTTTTCTTTTCCATGATGCCACTGAGTTAACATCGTATCTCATATAGAAAATAATGTCATGGGGGTTAGGGTTAGATCATCCATTTGAACAGTCAGTGTTAGGTGGGACAATAAATAAATGAAACCACCATACAAATAATAATTAGCCGTCCAGTTTAAAGGTAGGATATGAAAGATTCTTGGGCAGAGGAGAGTGCATTTCCCCCACATTTTTATCGGGTGCACTAGACTGTAGCTGTATTGGGTGTTTGATGGGTGAGTTGAGCAGAGAGTGGCCCACATGCACCCTTCACAGCCTGGTGTTTGACTCACCAAACGCCTGTAGTTAAACTGTCTCTTTCATTATTAATGGCTCCGGGAGGCCTGGACAAAGCAGAGCTTTTTATTTCAGCAGAGTTAATAATTCATGGCTTCTCAAACACAGCTGCAGGTGAGCGGCACCAGAGTCATGGACAAGCAGGGGTCCAGGTGGCTCAAAGAACCTGTCATGGGCCTGGACTCTTTTGAGGAGTTGTTGCAGGAGTTGCTCCATGTTTGAGACTTTGCTGCCTCTCATATTGAGCCAGCAAAGGACAGAAGATGTGTGCTGGAGGCCTTGAACCCAAATGGTGGCTAAGAGATTGTGTTTGCTACATTCCACCAAATGATGCGACACTGGTTTGGTGATTAAATAGGCAAATTGAATCAAATAAATAAAAGGAGGCCATTACACCAGTATGGGCTACGTCATCAGTCCTCAACCCCTGGTTAGTGGACCTGTACTGGTCTGTGGGTGAATTGGTACCAGGTCACAGTGAAAGAATTAATAATTCATTTCATTTTCATTTAACTTTTCCATATAAAGTTAACTTGTCTTTCAACTGGTATTAATACTGTAAAATAAAATATTTTTTTCATTTTTATTTATAATGCACTGATCCTTAACGACCCTTAAGCAATTCTTCAACCATGCGTGCTGCGATACCATTACAATCTACAATTCTCTGTAAAATTCTACTTAAATGCCCCAATGCACTGAATAATACTACACAAGACATAAGTATCAATACAGCGTTAGTAAATGTACTTGACAACAGAGGTGGGTACAGTAGCCAAAGCATTCAATCAGCTAGACAAAATTACAGAGGAGAGTTTTTCTATCAATAAAATAATAAATAATATTAATAGGATAATATCATTATAGTAATAAATAATAAATAAAAGTAGAGATACTGGATCATGGACGAACAGAGAACTGGATACTGGACAGCTAAAGCTTTATCCAGTATCTCTGATAAAAGTAACGAGCTCAGTATAGCCTAATGTAGCAGAGTAAGAGTACTGTTTCTACTTTATAAATCTACTTAAGTATAAGTAAAAAGTATAGTGATTTAAAACTACTCCTATAAGTATTTCATTTTGAAAAACGTACTCAAGTAAATGTAACAGAGTAAATGTAACCCGTTACTACCCACCACTGCTTGACAACAGATACCACTGTTTGTTTGTAACTGGGTCTTTGAGAATGAACTCTCAGTGAACGTAGTTTCTTCTTTTTCTCCTACTAAGCTGTAGCTTGTCCATACATGGTCATAAGAGTTGAACCCCTGCTTACACTCAACTCCAATACGTTTTTTCATTTCTGTGTGAACAACTGCCTGAACTGCAGCACATGCCCTCACACACAACCACTGGCACTGTTGATAAAAAATGATGGTGTCGTTTCACCTCATGATGAAGTCTCACCACTGCTATTGTGGTGTCGTTTCACCTCATGATGAAGTCACATCAATAAATCAGATGCCCTAAATGCCCTGCAGGTCTGTCTGCTGGACCACTCCACTTGTTTGCTCTTTCTCTACATGTCCAGGAGAAGCTGGTTTTATAGCCCTGCTGCTAATGTCAGGAATAATCAGCTTGGCAGCTTCTGCCTTTCACTTCCTATCAGTCACAGGGACGAAGGACCACAGTGGCCTCCGTTCCACTGGACAGGTTTATGACCTTCATTGAGAATGTGTCAAAGAAAGTGACGGCTGATCGTTTCAAAGTAATAATGAAAATGGCTATTTTCTCTGTAATACATGAATTATTAGGGTATATGGATTTGTAGATTTATTCACTGTCATCATCCGATGTCATGTTCACTGTTTTGTTCTCGCCCATATGTGACCTGTATTAGGTTTCAGTCTGACCTGTACAATCAGACCCTGGCCGCCTACATAAATTAGATGAATATAAAATATAGTATATAGTTGCATTCCATAGAAATTTTCTGTCAGTCGAGGTGGGACTCAGAAACAAGCATGAGAAACACTGTTGACTTTGACCATAATATTTGAAAGGAACACGTTTGTCCAATAGGAAAGGGATAGGAAAACTGTCCTTGCCTTCTGCCCTGCACGGCTGGACTTAGCAGGAGGCCAGAGCCCACCTCAGTATTGACAACGTAATATTGCACGACTTCAAAGTTGACATGTGAAACATCCGTATTTACTCACAACAGGCTTTACAACAATACCCACACCCCTCACAGGGGGTCTCGTCTGTGATTTGGTGTCACTGTGGGGTAAATGCTGCTTAAACAGGACCAATACCAATACAAAAAATAATACATAAACTATTCTTTACATAGAAAGGAGGGAATATGAGGTTCATTTTGGGCATAATATAATAAACTCTCACGACTGATTGTGTGAATTGTCACATTGAAGTGCAAATTAATTTTTCTTCACAAGGCTGAGTGCAGTGTGTCTACCCTGCAAATCCATGTGTCTGAACAATCTCTCACTCTCTCTTACACACACACACACACACACACATTTTCATGCGATACCAGAATAGCACTTCTGGTAGATTGGATACATGCACACAAACCCCTTGTTGGTTTGACTTGTGAAAACCTGCCAACGTCTAATTGAATCACTGTGAGCACAGGCATCGTTGTGCGAATGTGTGGTCCAGTTTTAAAGGGCAAACCGACGTGGAGCAACATTCATCTCTAAGATTAATTTTCTGCTATATTTAGAATTGGAAGTCAGGCAAACTGTATCTTTAGTCTTTTCTGTTAATAGCTGTTCAAATGGTGAAGCATGGTATTTTTTCTACATGTCATCATATCACTGAATATTTTCACAGAATTATTTAATGTGCCTGATTTAGTCCTCACTTTAAATGTTGAAAAACGCTGGCGTTCTAAATTTGTCAGCTGTGAATCAGTGGACCTTGAATCTGTCTAACTTTGAATGTAGACACTGAAGCAAGAGGACAAAGCAAGTATTCATACAAATGGATTTTATTGTAATAACTAAATATTCAAGGAAATAAGAGAGAAACCAATCACATAATATCTAATCTCTATCTAGTTTTCTAGTTTGTTTGAAACAATTAAAAAAATAAATACAGATAACAGCTAGCAAATGAAGAAAAAAATTGTATTATGTATAATCACAGCGAACTGGTAGATTAATCACAATTAGTTTTGAACACACACACCATAATTAATTGTGATTCATTGTGATTAATCCAAATAAATAGTCATTGCTGAATATGATTTGAAAACAGTAATTTAATTTTTCTTTTTGTTTGTTTTACCTTTCCAGGTCACACGATAGTCATCTGTGTCCAGGATAATTCATTACAGAACCAAGCATGACAGCGTCGACTAAATGGATAACGTGGCTTCTGAGAATTTGGAAATAAATCAAGAATGAACAAAAACACCACTCATGGACCTTCCTTTTGGAAAATGGATATAAGAAATCCAGGGATCGAAGATGACTCACCCTTCATGATTCCTGACTTTTTACTCTGGACAACAGTTCCTTTCACTGACTCTTTATGCATAACAAATCTCTGTTTGTATTATAGTTTTGGGAAAACTCCACCATGAAGTTAACTAGTAAATACAAGACTGGCCATGTTATCATGTGATGTGAAGTCTTTGTGCTTTTTTTTATTGTCACAAAGGATCCTGGGACTCCATGTCTGCTACATGTCTGTGTGGAATGTTCACTGGGATTAGAACCTTTTTTCATTCCTTTCAGCCTTAACGATCAGTTTCTTCTCATATTGATTCATAAACCATGAGTTGTTTGGCTTTCTTAGGTATCTTAGGACACTGAGGCTTCTGTTTTGACTGACAAAAAGCAACACTACAATCAAGAACACAGCCGTGAAAAAAATGTAAGTATATTTGACTGCAATTCACTAAGGAGCAACACAAATGACTTCTGGAAAATTATTTTACTCTTATTTGTTGTTTATAGAGCTTGGTGATAACCATTGTTTACAAATGTCAGTATTATCTCAATAAATTTAACTCTATAGATATAACTTCATGGAAAGATGTTTCTTTTAACTTAACACTGGTAACCCTAACCCCAAACCCTTATACCCAAACTAACTCTTAACACAATCTTTATTTTAATAATACTTTTTCATGTCCGATACCAAAACTGCCACTTTATCACATGTCGCTTAAAGTTAGGTTGAGCAATTTGGCTTAGGCATCAGATCGAATGGGCTAAGACTGTACCATAACTGTTGTAGCTAACATTAGCTCTAGCGTCTGCACCTGGATTGTTGTACCTAACATTAGCTGACTGCGAACCGTACTTTAATCATTGTCTTATATCCTGGTTGCCTCACAGCGTGAGTGGTGGTAATTGAGAAAGGTAGCCTACTGGTTAGTAGTAAGTAATCACACCCTACCCTAATGCAAAGACAAAGAAGTGATGGAAATACTTCATAATGTACTTCAAACAGGGGCAGGTTTTTATTAAATCCTATCACCGGAGTAGACAAGCAGTAATGTCTGAAGTAGAACCACCATTTTAAGGGCTCAGATTTCATATTTTGTAAGTCAATTTCTGTCAGTAATTGAAACTGCATTCTGCATTCACCACAGAATACTTTTTATACTAAACATAATTAATTAAGCAAAAACGGAGGAGGTTTTCTCCCAAAGACCAGCCACGAGGGAGAGAGACTGAAGGGAAGGAGAGAGTGAGTCTGCTACGCTTAGTGATCCAGGTTGCCTCTTGTTTGGATAGAAATCATTAAATTACAGTAATGACTAATTTCTCATTCGTGTTCGCAATTCGCCCGAGACCATCACGGATTTAATAAAGAGCTGGCGTTGAATTACAAATAGCGAGCAGCTGAGGAAAGGCTACGTGATTATACAAAGTAATTCAAAAGTGCATTAATAAAACAATACAGAAACATTGCTAAATCATTTAAGATAAAGGTCATTTGCATAATTCATTAAGATTTATCAGAGCAGCCAATCCACCACCGTGCTCTGAGGGACACAGTGAAACGACGTGAGGCCGATCTCCGGGAAAAAAACTCTTTTCTCTTCACAAACAATGATACAAATCTACCCTTGGATCAGAGAATTAACCTCTGTGGCTTTTACAGCCCCCGCCGTGTCGATGCACAATCCTTCAATCATTCACCTTTATGTAGGCTAATATTCTATTAATAATGAAAGATCTTTCATGCACACCTCCCCTGGGTTTTGTTCCTCTGCCATAGAAGACCTTCACAAAAGTTGAAAGTGAATGTATTCTGTGTTGGAAAACTGGGATGATGATCTGAGGGACGGCTGTTTGAAAATTCTGTGCACTGCTGTTCTTTTTGATATATATATATATTCACTGCAGGGAAATGTGTGGCGCATGACACACATGAAATTAGTTTGGTGGTCCTCTGCGTCACTCCCATACACCTTCACTGGAACAGTTTAACTTTTCCATTGTTTCTCCCCTATCAGGTCAAAGAGGCAGCTGAAACTTTTGTCTCCCCAGTGACTCCAGGTGTTATTTGGTCAGGGTAGTAAAGATGCAGCTGCAGATGCTGATAAGAACCCACAGATTTCCTCCGAGCAGGTGTGGTGCCATGATAGGCATTCCCATGAAAAGTATCCCTGCTGTACATTAATGAGGAAGAGGGTAATTTTTCATGCAGAATTGATTATAATGACACAACACCCTCTGTGGCGAGTCTTTAACTTCACTTTTGAGATATGCTCCGAGAATGTGGCATGTTGTATTGGACAAATGATTTTGGAGTTGCAGTTCCCAGGCAAGAGAAGAAGAGGAAGACCTTAGAGAAGACTTGTGGATGTTGTGAAAAAAGGCCATGGAGGACAATTATACTTTTACAACAATCAAACAAAATATTTAACCAAACGTGGGTAGAAACTTGTTGACAATACTGAGGTTTCCAAAAGGTGTAACTCTACCAGATCATTTCAGGGAACTGGAGTGCAGTCCTTAGCAGAGCTGGGTAGACTAGCCAAAAATTATACTCAAGTAAAAGTACTGTTACTTCTGAATAATATTACTCAAGTAGAAGTAAAAAGTAGTCATCCAAATAATTACTTGAGTAAGAGTAAAAAAGTACTTGAGTACTTGGAAAAACTGCTCAAGTACTGAGTAACTGTTGAGTAACATCTGATTTATGTTTTAATGAGCATTCACTTAAAAAAAAGACTGCTGTTTCGCAGTGATTGTAAACTGTTCATGTTTTCAACATGAGTTCAGGGGTGTCCCTCCTCATTTTCGTCTGCATTGTTAACCATTAATTCTACAATTTTTTGCTATCAAAGATAGTGCATATTGACCGCAGCCACTAACCTAACCCGTCCCGCCACTGATTAAGTATGGTCACGTGACTGAGCGTCAAGGGCTACGTTTTATTGGTTAAACACAGTCACACAATAGACCCTTGGGCGGAAGTCTCTCTCTGACAAAATAAAAGTAGAGATACTGGATCATGGATGAATAGAGAACTGGATACTGGATACAGCTTAATCCAGTGTCTCTGATGGAAGTAACGAGCTCAGTATAGCCTAGTGTATTGTTTCTTCATCATAAATCTACTCAAATAGAAGTAAAAAGTATAGTGATTTAAAACTACTCCTAGAAGTATTTTAAACTTACTCAAGTAAATGGAACAGAGTAAATGTAACTCGTTACTACTCACCACTGGTCCTTAGACCGGACAGAGAAGCAGCAGGTGGAGACCTGGTGTCAAAGGTCACCCTCCAGAATTCTACAGAGAACATGTTGAGAATTCTGTTCTTTTCATGTATATATATATATATTTCTAGTTTTTGACTTTCTCTCCCGTTGGGTCACACAAATAATAAAAAGTAGCAGCGACCGGTGCAGCTGTTGGTGTTACATACAGTATGTTACGTTACCATAAAGCAGCAGTAGACAAAGCCAGGACTCTTTAAACTCACAATTACTGTGTGAAAACTGATGATAATTATTACAGGATAATTATTCCATTTTGTCTGCTCTGGTCTGATATATAACCATCACGTTCCTCCCGGAAGAGCTGATCAGACTTCATTCACTGTTTGATGACTTGGCTTTTGGTGTTGAGTAACAAAAACCATGAACAACAAAATAACACAGAGAAAATGAAAAGGTGCAAATCACAAGTACTGCTGTTTTTACTTGTCATCTTAATAAGATAATTATTTAATTGTATATTTTCTTCAAAAACAGAAAATATTTATTGTTAAATAAAGACAGGTTTGTACCTCGTAGGCAGAGTGAAAACAAAGGTCTCCGTTTTGCAAACACCATCTGGTTCGTCAGTGGATTTACAAAATTAGACTTTCTCACGGTGCGAGCTGTCAGGCAGTTTAGAAACTGCTGGCTCTAAAAACACATTGGTGAGTAGCAAAAGAGCACAGAACGAAAACAGCATTTATAAAGTCTAAGTATGTGTTGTGACTGTGTATTCACCTTATTTATGTATTTATTTATTGTCAGAGGTGATGCAGAGTTTGATGTCATACCTGATGATCGTGTGTCGTTCTTGTCAACAACCAGCTGTTTATCTTGAAGTGAATTGTGCCACTCTCTTGGCTTGCACCCCTGTGACCTGGTGTATAATGGGATTATTCTGCTGGAGGCAGCAGGAAGATGCGTTGAATTCTAACAACAACGTATTCCTTGTAGTACACATCTCCTCCTTTTCCTGTCTGTGTTTGTCTGGGCTCTCAGTCATGGCCTGTTGTTTATTTAAATAAAAGAATTGCTTAAGAAAAGAAGTGAATATCATGTTAATATACAGTAAATATATATATATATATGTATGTATATATATATATATATATATATATA